CCTATAGATCCCTTATAGGAGCCCTATAGATCCCTGTAAGGAGCCCTTTAAGTAACACCTGAGCCTTGAACCCTAAACCCCTACACCCTAAACGCTAAACCCCAAACCCTAAACCCTAAACCATAAACCCTAAACCATAAACCCTAAACCATAAACCATAAACCCTAAACCATAAACCATAAACCCTAAACCATAAACCATAAACCCTAAACCATAAACCATAAACCCTAAACCATAAACCATAAACCCTAAACCATAAACCCTAACACCGAAAGCAGGTCCAAAGCCAGGCTTTGACACGCCAGCCTCTAGCTCGGCTAAACTCGGCGAGGAGAAGAGGTCTCATCCCGACGCGGCCCCCGGGCGGCCCCTAACAATCAGGGTTTAGGGTTTAGGGTTTAGGGGTTTAGGGTTTAGGGTTTAGGGGTTTAGGGTTCAGGGGTTAGGGTTTAGGGTTTACGGCTCAGCCTTAGATGTTTCGAGGAGGAGCAGTTTGGATTCTGGGACGTGGAGCGTTCGGGTCTAGATTAAGGCTTCAAGCATTGGGTTTAGGGTTTAGGGTCTGTGGACCCTAAACCACAACGTCCAGAAGCTTCCCCTTCGCTCTGATGTATATATGCGTGCATGCACGCATGAATGTATCAGGAAAAGGACAATAAAGAGTATGTATTTATGTTCAGGCATGCATGTATCAGGGGATGGTATGGATGTATGTATGCGCGTGCATATAGACTTCCAGGTACCTATTTTCGTCTTCCTAGAACCCTGAAGCTCACTGACCTGCAAGGCCCTTTATTTCAAAACCCTAAGCCCTGAAACTCAGGATTTATGGTTTAGGGTTTGGGAGTTAGGATTAGGGGGGGACCCTTGGGCATATAGACCCTCTCAATAAGGCCCCTTTTAAGAGAGCCAGAAGTAGGGTTCAGAAGGGGTACCCTTTAAGGGGTCCCCCTAAGCCAGGGTTTAGGGTCTGAAGGCTGTGTCCAAGTTCTTAATATCTTGGGAAACCCCTACACCCAAGACCTCAGCGCTTAGCCTTGAAACCCTCAACCCCAACTTATAGGATCCTTAAGGGGGGGTGGTTCAAGGGGGGAGGGTACTAGGGAGCTTTGGGGAACCTTAGGGAAGCTTAGGGAGTATTGGGGAATAATGGGGATTACTAGGTTACCTACCCCCCTTGGACCACCCCCCCTTAAGGACATCCTAACCAACCCCCAAGACCCTAGAACAGAAACCTTACCACCTACACAGCCTCACCCAGCCTGAGCCCGGCACCCCACAACCACTTCAATTCTCCTTAGAGGGTTCCTGCGAGGGATTCCTGTAAAGCCTCCCTTGAAGGCTACCTTCAGCCTCCCTTGAAGGGCTTCCTTTGAGGGATCCTTTCGGGCTTTCTTGAGGGGATGTCCTTTAAGCCTTCCCTGCAGGCATCCTTTAAGGCTTCCTTGAAGGGATCATTTGGGACCTCCTTTAGGGCCGGTTTAGGGTTTAGGGTTTACGGCCTTTAAGGCTTCCCTTGGGGGGATCCTTTCGGGGCAGCTGTGTTTTTGGACGCCCTTGGTCGAGGCTAGAGGAGTTTTGGAAATGTTTCTTGGTTTCCACGGTTTCCGGTTTAAGATTGAGGGGTTTGGGGGTTTAAGGTCTAGGGTTTTGCTTAGGGTCTTGCGCATTCCATGGGGTTCATTAGGCTTTAAATTAAAGGTTCGGGGTTGGTTTGGCATGAAGGGTTTAGAGTCTAGGGTATACGGCTTCACGTTCAAGCAGGCACAGTTGCAAGCGCCATTATTGGAACTAGAATCATGTTGCCTGCAGCCCCGCTACATCTTGACCCAGCGAGGAATACGCCAGACCCAGCAGACACTACAGTGCCATCAAACTTCACGGTTTGCTGCAGTACTAAACGCCCAATACCCTACTACATTTACAGTATCGATCGCCTAGCCGTAGAAGGTCTATTCCTTCGCCGAGGGGTATTGGGCTCTTGGGGGAGCTTCCACACTGAGGCTCAGGCCCCTCACTCTAGGAATGACTACCCGCAATGTCTTTAGCCTTACAGTAGAAGCCAGAAAGTTGGAATATCATTATCGTAACCCCTTGAAGGTGAATTATAGGGGATCCTACCATTAATCCATATTCCAACTTTCTGGAGTTCCCTTTAGGGTTTCAGTGTTCAGAGTTCCAGGGCTTTTTAAGGGTTTAGGATGGCTTTAGCGCTTGGGGGTTTCCCGTTAGTATGGGCCATACTCGCCCCAGCCATGGATGGAGGGGATGTGCCTGCGCTGTTCCTGTGGAGTTCTTCCGTACTTGGCGTGCCTTGCTCAATGAAGTCTGACCCCGAAACCCGAAACCCTCAACCCTTCAATGGGGTGTTCAACGTTTTTGGGTACGATAGAGGTTTGAATAAGTAGTGTGATATCCCCGCTAGGAGTCCTGACACAATATTCCACAGTAAATATCGCCACACCCTAAACACAAAAGCATGAAACCCGCCCAAATCCTAACCTCGCCTAAGCGCCAAACCCAGTGCCCTAACACCTAAACCATGAAACCCGCTTAAATCCTAAACCCTGAAACCCTGCCAAATCCTAAGTCCGCCTAAACCCTAAACCCAAAGTCCGGGACCTCAAACCCAAAGCCTAAAGCCGTAAAGGAGGCGTATTTATTTTGAGATTTTTCTTTTTGGGATTTTTGTTGCAGCACCCCCCAACTACCCTCCGTTTTACCCCCCAAATATCCACTGTTAGGACCATCAGGGCTCCATCAAGGAGTACTTGGGGGGTGCTGGTAAGCCCTGAGCTAGAAACCCCCTGACCTCCTCAGACCTTAGCGCAATCAGCCTCTGACAGTCAGCATCTCAGAGCCCCTAAACCCAGAGACTCCAATGTCCCTTAATTAAAAATGTACCTTCAATCATATCACGGACCTCTACTTTTTTTTTTGGTATATTCCTTAAATAATTAGCTTAAATAGTTAAGGGATAATGGAGTCTCTGGGAATGCTGAGGCCTTCCTCAAGAAAGGGTTCTACGTTTGTAGGGCTCTGGGGCCTTAGTCTTTGGGGTCTAGGGCTTTTTTGGAAACGCTGAAAAGGCCCAGCAAAGCCTTTAGCAACAAGTTATGAAGCCCTGACCCCAGGCCTGAATCTCCAGCCTCACACACCCAGTCTTGCAATGCAAGCTCTGCATCCCACACGTGAAGCCCTAAACGAATTGATGAAGCTTACACTTTGGATTGCGCAAACCGACTCTAGACAACTTGAGCCCTAAGTGTTTAACCCTCAACTTCAATTGCAAACCCTAAGCTCAAAACCACGACCCCTAAACTCAAGTGCTAAACCACTAAGCCCTAAAGCCCTAAGCACAAGCCACAAACCTGACACAGGTGGGCTCTTCTCGCAACCTCGCGGGCGGCATACCTCAGAGCTTCTCGCGCAGAGCTCCTAGCGCCGGTCATCGGGAGAGAGACCTACCTGCGCCTTGTCTTGTAATACTTGCCGTCATTATGACTACTATTATGGTTGCCGTCACTATTACTGCTATTGTGGTTGCTGCTATTGCTATCTCTACTGATATTGTTATTGTTACTGAGAATGCAGCTACTGTTAACCCTGTTAAGCAAAATATTTCGTTTACACACTGTTGTTACTGCTATCATTAATTTCTACTCTGCTGATTCGTTTTTTTGCATTACTGCTTTGTATCTTGCAATCATAAACCTGCTATCGGGACAAGTCTGTTAGGGTGTCAGGTTTCGAATGAAGTATACATCCACGTTTAGAGTCTGGTTCGACGTCGTCGTTATTTGGCCAAATCTGAAATGTGCTGCTAGTTTGCTACTCGCACCCGATTGACCTGCGCTGCATGTTTGTTGGGTTTGATTTCTGTGGGGGTCGTGTATGCTAGGCTGACGGGATGTGAAAGGGTTTTAGGTTAATCTTTCTTGCGGGAGGACAAGACGAACAAAGTTTGACAACAGTTCTGGAGAAATTTTCTAATCCCAAACCCAGACCCTACCAAACCCCCCAATCCTACGCCTGGAACCAGGAACCACACCGGAAATGCTTTCTAAACCCTGAACCCCTTATTCCCCGAAACCTCAAGAACAGTTGTTGGATATATTCCTCAACTAGGGGATTTCGGGCTTCTCTGGGAACCACCCAAAATCACAACTACCTGTATCAACTCCTAAACAACCTCCGCAAACCCTCCGCGGAGGTGGATAGGCTTCCGCACGAGCGAGAGCGTTGTCGCCTATGACCCGACAGAGTTTCCGCCACTCGGGAGCATCTGGGAAGGTGACGGGGTTGAAGGGCTAGGACCGGTTCTATGAGGGTTATTATGATCCAGGGGTAAAAGGAGGGACCCTTAATAAGGACCCCTAGGTATATATATATATATATATACCCTTGACATAGGTACTACATACCCGTTATATAGCCCATTATAGGGCAGGGGTCCCCCTTAAGGGTCCCTCCTTTTCCCGTTTGATATGAGGGCGACTCCTCTGGGTCGATATGTGGTTACTTGGAGGGTCGGGGGACTTAGTAAGTAGGTAGTAAGTCGACTTCTAAGTACCCGAAAAGGGACCCTAATTGGGGTTATGGTACTTATAAGTCCCTAAAATAACCAGTTACTAAGTCCCCCGACCCTCCAAGTACCTTCGGATTTAAGATTTTGGAGGATGCGTTTCTAGGTTTTTTTTTCTCAGTCGGACGTGCAGGGCCATTTTGTGCTTGCTGGATCAAAAGAATTTGTTTATGTCCTGCCCACCAGGTCTTCTTCAGGGTTTAGGGTTTGGGCTTTAAGGTAAGGGTTTGTGGGTTCAGGTATTTTAGGAGCCTTAATAATTAGAATAGGGTTTTGGGGCCAAGTATACTATAGTTATAATAAGGAATCCCCAAAATAGTATAGGTAATTATTAAGGCCCCTATATTACCTTATCTCCCAAAACCCCGAAGCGCAAAGATCCATGCCTCTGCCGGGCCCGGTAAGCCACGCTCAGGTATCACTCCGTGTTCCTCCGCGACGAGTCCAGTGACAGCTTGTTGGGCTTTCCGTCAAACTGCTGCTTGGGCGCATTTGGGTGCGGCTTTTGTGGGCCTTGAGGGTCGCTGGATTGAGTTTACATAGAGCCATTGGATCTAGAGGGTTTCTAGGTTAGGCATCAGGGTTTGTGGACTCAGGTTTGAAAGGGGGCCTCGGGGAAAGGATACGTGTGCATACAGCACGAACACGGCCACATTTGCACTTCTAGTGCCATCGGGTGATGCAGAGGTCTGAAACAGACTTTTAGAGTATCCCAAGACCAGTATCCCAAGACCACGGTCCCGAAAACGGCCGTGGTCATGATCGTTTTCTTTCAGGAGCCAAAGAAGCACCCAAACATAAACTTTCGGGTGGGATATCCCTATCTTATTGCCTTTATTGAAGAGGGGATTCTGGGATATCCCAACCTTATGCTTTTTGTTTAGGTCCTTTTCTGGGTCCCGATTCTTCTCGGCGGTCCAGCAAAAACAAAGACCGCGTGAGGGTCATGGTGAACCCGGTCACCAACCCTCCATCGCGAGCGGCATCGGTCGATCAATTGGGCCAAATGCTGAACAGGAACGCTCGATGCATCCTCACGCGTTCTGACGGAGAGGGAGGGGCGGCCTTGACGATGCCTGAACAAGTTTATCACATGTGGGAACGCAAACGCAAGCCACTGTGGTGCGGCTCTCGGTGATCGCCTTTGCGTATGCGTGCCGCAAAGCTCTATTCCAATCAATGAGGCTCCATTATGTAGATCTTATCTCCGTCCCTCCTGCAAAGGTGCAGCCGTGTGCATTTATCTCCTGGATCCTGAATATCAATGTATCAGGCCCAAAGCACCCTAAAACCCCAAGCCCTAGAATCCTCAGGCCCGAAGCCCCAACCCCAAAAAGACTAGGCCCTGAAGCCATCACGCACTGAATCCACATAACCTAGAAACTCCAATATCCCTCAATTAGGGAATAGAACTTAAAATCATATAGGGGATCCTACTATAATTTAAGGGATATTCCTTATTCAATTTAGGGGTGCTTAGAAATGATTTATAATTTGTGGTTATTATAATCCCTAAGAAACATCTAAAATTATAATTTTTGCTAGGGTTCTAAGTTCAGTATAGTCAAGGGATATTGGAGTCTCTGAGAGCCGCAAGGCCCGAAGCTCGAGAGCCCCAAAACCCCTCCGCACTAAGCTCTGAACCCAAGCATGCCACCGACAACCCGCTTGTGCCCAAGTGTAGAGGGTTTAGGGTTTAGGGTTTATTGCAGTGGGGTTTAGGGTTTCGGGTTTAGGGAAGTGCAGAAAGAGTGGTCTTTTCAGGAATAGAACTTAAGCTACCATGATGGAAAGATGTAGCAACATAAATGCCTCGTGATTCTAATCATCAAGTCACCTATTTTTCTTAAAACCCTTTGAGTAGCAACCCTGCCAAATCTCGTAAAGCTTTTCTACCTCCAACTTAAATTGAACCACCTCACCCCAGAACCCTAACCCTTGAATAATGGCCCCCAACTCCTAAACCGTACACCCTAAACCAAAAACTCTAAACCTTTGCCAACAAAAACTTCAAACAGAACCCCCAAAGCCTGGAAGAAGGTAAACCCAAATCCACCAACCAACCCTCGAGGCTCCTTATAGGAACCCGTAAAGGCACCCTTACTGCAGCCCTAAACCCTAAATCCTATGCCCAGGCGTTCTGGCCCGAGACCTTTTGCAGTCGGCCAGTTAACCCTAGCGAGGCCCGTAGAGGCCCGCCCTTCCGTGGCCTTGAAAGACAGGTGCACGGCAACGCCAACCAACCCTTCGCCCGTTGCTTAGGCATACGCTGGTGTCGTGGTTCCTTCTGTACGCCTTTGCGAGGAAGGTTTTTCTACTGTGGCTGCCTCCCGGATTCCGCTGGAGGTGTGCCAGGACCTGTACGACTTTTCGAGGGTCCCTTCTTTTATGAGCTGCGCTGCAATATTTGCTATCTGGGTTAGCTTTATTGGAGTGGGCAGCAACGGCCCGCCGAGTTGCGGAGCCGGCTTTTCACCGGCGACAGCGCCGCCGGCGTACAATTTCTCGACAACTACTTCGGCAAGTGCTTTTCGGTGGGGGGTCCTGGACGAGCACTGTTGCGAAGGCAGTCAGGTGTTTGGAAGGACACCATTCCCGCTCGTCCTTGCCGGAGCAAGTCAGGCGGAAACTGTTCACGAAGCACCGTACCATGGCTTCACACAATGGGGCCTGGAAGTGCACGAGTTGTGCACGGCAGTGCGCCAAGAGCGCAGACTTTTGCCCGGGCTGCGGGAAGCACTGGACCAAAGTGGCCGAAGGATATGGTGCTTGGACTCAGAGACCACCCTGGCCGGAGAGATCGAACAACCCCGACCAGTGGCCCAAGTCACCACGCCGCAGATCTCCACGTACCAGGAGACCACCGGCGGGACAACAGCCCAAAGGTGGTGGCGGCAAAGGACAGCCGAGCGGACCCAAAGGAGCTGGCAAGTCTGGCAAGGCCGAGGCTGCAAAGCCTTCCTTAGACCAGCTTCCGGCAGCACCAGTGGGGGCCGCAGTGAACATGCCCAAGGGGACCCCGGCTCCGAGCTCGTCGCAGGCACCGTCGATCGAGAAGACTCAGCTGGAGGCACTCACGGGATGCCTCACTGCGATTCGAGACTCCCTGCCCGCAGAAGTCCGGGATACGCTCGATCGACTGCAGCTGGCCTCGACGGCGAATACCACCAAGGACATGCACAGAGCTGTGGCGGCTCAGGCAACCGCCAAAAAGCAGTTGCTGCAAGTGCAGGCTGCTCGTGCGGCCTATCTCGATGCCTGGCATGGATACATCGAGCAGGTGAGTCAGCTGTTGCAGCAGCAAGTCGGAGAGCAAGCGGCACAGCTGGAGGCGTACGATGCGGCGGAGCTTCAATGGAGTGGGGCATTGGAGCAGACCACTGCAGATCTCGCCCGTTTGACACGGGCACCGACCACTACCCGCGTCGAGGCCGAGGAGATGGATCTCGAACAGGAGGAGAACTTGGTGGACGCGGACATTCGCACAGCAATGGAGCTGGAACAGCGCAAGGAGCAGCACCTGGCGGAGTCCAAGCAGCTGGTGAACCTCCTCGCCAGTGTCCAGCAGACGGCGGCCAATCAGCTCAAGCAGGCTGGCCGAGAGGGATCGCGCACGCCAAGACGCAAAGGCAAAGGTCCAGTGGCAGTCGACCTGACGTTACCCGAGGATGGCGCCAGAGATGCTGCGGCTTCAGATGCCAAGGACCAGGAGGCGAAGCCGCCCCCTGCCTAGGCCCGTGTACGAGCCGAAAGGGAATACACGGGCCGATTCCATGCGTGCCTTTTGGGCACAGCGTCGAGAACGAGACGGACTTTGTAGGCAGCAACTTCGCTAACTTCCTGGGGGTTTCCTTGAGTTTTGAGGTTGCGATTTTGAGCCTTGGTCTGGATGACATTCATACGTTCCTGGAGGATCCCAGGTGCAATGACACTCTTGAGGATGATGGGTCATTCTTCTGGAGTGTGTCCGGAAGTTCGCAGACTGCCGACTATGAGCTCTTTGAGATCAGTGCGCAGTGGTATCCACCTGCCATGCCGGCGGGCTCATCCTCTCTTGACATTGAGCGCGTCCCCTTGGCCATCCGACCCCCACTTGAGCGCATGCACAGGCTCGTGGGCGCGGTAGATGTCGACAAGAGGCGCGACTCTCAGGCGAGAGAGGCTGAGCCCGACGGAGGCGCAATGTCTAGACGTTGCGACAATGAGGGGATGAATTTTCCGCCGCTCGCGGCCTGTACAGGCAGTTATCAGATGCATAGGGATGCGTCTCAGTTGGGTTGTAGGCCGCATGCTCGACGCAGTCCGCTGCCCTCTGCCCTACACACGGCAACCCACCCAATCTTTCTCCGGGTTCCCGCAGTGCTCAGACCCTTCGCTCACAGCCACAATCAGTGGGCGCGAGCGTTCAATCAAATCCCTTGCCGCGTCGGCCCCGCACGAGGAGAGCCGCAACACTTGCAAACTGCCTGTTTCACAGTCGGCCCCACTCCTGGAGAGCCGCAGCATTTGCACCTTGCCGGCTTCAAGGCCGGTGCCTGTCGAGCCTTGGCCGAACCTCGCCCACCCGGGGACCTCGCGACCCTAGGTCGACCACGGCAATTGCCGCGTGTGCCGTTGCAGACGAGCACCGCTGATAGGCAGTACAGCTCCTCCGATACCAGTCTATCCGGAGGTTCTTTTGATACCACAGTTGCGACTGCCACCCCTTCTGCCAAACTAGCCCTCAGGAAGCCCACCATGCTTCAGTGCACCATAACTGCGCAAATTCCGATTGTGCCCGAGTGCCTCAGGGGTCGACTCTTGGGTGAGACGATCGAAAACTTGGGGGCCTACACGAGTTGCGAAGCATATGATACACACGGTCAGGCCGTGTACACGATATTTGATCCTCCCCATGGAGTTAGATCTCGTCGAGCACACAAGACCTGGAGTTTGCTGGAACTCGTCACGGATGCGGTCAACAGTGCAACCTTCAGGGTCCGCATGATCCAACTTGTGGACAGACCCATGGGTGGTCTCAGCTCGCCTCAGCTAACGCTCACCCCGGCAGAGGCTGAGCCAGGAAGAATTGCTCTTCCGATTGACCTGCGTGGTCACGGCGGCTCTGTGGTGACTATACATGCAGCAGCCGACATGACCCCTCAAGAGGTGTTGCAGGCTGCGATGGATGCCCCGAGGTCACATCTTGGCAGACTCGATGTTCCTCCGCAAGAGGTCAGGCTGTTCTCATCCGATGGACGGCAGGTCTTCAGGCTGCATCTTCCATTGACGCAGTACGAATGGCTGGAAGTTAGAAGCTCAGCGGATCAGGGGGCACTTCCGCAGAACCCCGTCCCGACTACGACAAGCACAACCACGCGTACGAGCTCACAAAGGGGTTTAGATCCTTCCGAGCTCGAACAGCTCCTTATGCAGGCAGGTGATAGGCCTGCACCAGCCCTGCCGGCAGTGCTTCAAGGGGTTGATATCTGGCCCCG